TTACTGAAATAAATGAACTTTTCCACAACATTCTAATTTATTGATGCACCGAGCAGCATTAGTAAACTGTGTAAATATAAAGAAATGCCAAATCACATGCTGGTTTTTTCAGACCGGAGACCATAATTGTGTAATAATTGATTTTATTATGATACGAAACGTCCAATTTTTCTTTCAATAATGTTTTTTAAAGTTTTGCAAGAATTTCGTGATACTAAACTTTTTATTAGTTGTCATAGCAAGTGATTTTAAAAGTAGGATGGCTCACTTTTTATAAGATGACTGAAAATTGAAATACTTGAATTCGTAGTTTATTCTTACTTTTGAAAACCTAATTGTTTTATAATTATTATTATAATTATTATTATTTCTGTTGTTTCTAGAAGTAGTAATTTTGAGCAGGACCTCAATTTCACTCAGTAAAGTTTTTTTTTCTTTGTGCTCGTCATTCTCAAGCATAGAAAGTCTGATATTGTTTTGCGTTTTTCAAATGATGTCTGGCGTTTTTCAAAAGGGCAGACTTCCTGTCATTAAAAGGCATTAAGAATACATTAAATGTATTTATTAACATTGATATTGGTTGCTCTACTGTATCCACTCAGGAAGTCAATTCCTTGTCATCACTTCACAGGCATTTTTCTAATATATATATATATATATATATATATACTGGTAAAAAATGTATAGCCTGAACGCACTGTAAGTCGCACTGGATAAAAGCGTCTGCTAAATGCATAAATGATAATTAATTATAATTATATTAGAATCTGGTACTGCATTCACCAGTAGCCTATGCATGTACTGCATTCCCACATCTGTTAAAAAAAAACAGTTTGAATTGATCTTGAGGTGAGGAGTTAATTTTAATCAAATGACTAAATATGTTGAAATTACACAGAGTCTCCGTTTTACTTATTTTCCATGACGCACATAGTAAAGTCAGAAGTTCAGCTCTGTTATGACACATCCTCTGATTTACTTTTATTTCAATCGTTGTATGAAACCAGAAACCAACAACCACAAAAAAAACAAAACAAGAGCAAGCTAAATGCATCAAAGTTGGACATACACTGACAGAGGTGCGAGACAGATGGAAATGAGATCTAATGAGTTCATAAAATGTTTGGATTGTTATGTTTGGACGCTCTCACTATCAACACCTGGACATCTGACACTGGAGCTCCCAGACGGCCACAGTTTTCTCTATTTTTAGCTTCTTTTTAGAAGCCATGACCCATCAATCACAACATATTCCAAATCAACCCAGCATTATCTATGAAAGTGTTCAAATAACATCTGTAAGGCAGAAAGCCAAATCAAAGCTGACCACTTTCTAAGACCTTTGAAATTACGTGAACACTCCAGATATATTCAGTGACGTCTAAGTGATACTTCCTGTTTTCTTTTGTCAAATGAACAAAGGACATCAAATACAGACAACCAGACACTAAGTGTAGTTGTCATACAGAAAAAAAGTGCACTAATATCAAAATGATAAAATCACTAATCTTTGAACTTCACAACTCAATTTCGAAAACTCTTCAGTTTTTACTGCATCTGACAAACAGTACAAAAAATAAATGTGCATTTTTTTTTTTTTTTACAAGAAAGTCCCACGGGTCTATACCATAGTCCCAAAATGTCGTCCAGTTTGCGTGTACATTCAGCTTCTTGGACCAAGTCTGAAACTAAAAAGAAGTCCAATGTCTCCCAGTATCTTTAAGCACAATCCTTTTCAGTCAATGGTTTAACAAGGAACTTCATTTAGACCTTGACAGAATAAATGAAATAAAAAAATGGCAAAAAGTAATGAAAGACACCAGTATGATAAATTACACAAAGTATTTTGCTTTTCAGTTAAACTGAGCTATCTTGGATATCTTGGAGACATCGTCAGAATTTGACCTCTTTGAGATATACGTACTAGACGTTTATAAATCCATGAGGTATTTGTTTTTGACAAAAAGTGTCTTTCTTTTTCTCAGAGATGGAATCCATGCTCCAGGCATGTGCTCTTGAAAGAGTTATTGGGTCTTCGGTTCTGCCAACTTCTCTGGCTCCACATCCAGGTCAGTTAAGCAGCAGACGCACATGATCTGAGTGTATTTGGTGACAGAATCTGGCATGGAGGATAGAGAGAGAAACAGGTTGGAGAAAACAGGAGCAATGGAGTTACACTGAAAAAAAAATGCTCAAATTAAGTGGGGAAATTTAGTTTTACCTGCACCATCCCACTGGAAAATCTTTTTTTTTCTGATTTTAAGTATGAGCTTTATTAAATTTGAGTAGATATTAATAAACTGATTGAGTAGTGCATTGACAGTTTGAGGATGAAGTATTTAAGAGACCAGAGCTGCTGTAAACATGATATGTCTGTCACAAAGCCTTCCTTCTTCCAGACTAGAGCATTTAGTGATTACTTCTGGTTGTGTTCATAACTTAGTACTATCTCATAAAACATTTCTGAGTCTGAATTTGAGGTCCATCGAACCACTCCTTTGCTTACATTTAGTTACTAGATTCACATCGAATAAATTAAGCAGAACTGTGAACTTGCATGAATGATAGTCACATGTTTGTTGTGGTGGAGCAGTGGCTGCTATGGTTATAATGCTTTCACCGCATGACTATATGAAGAAAAAGGAAAAGAGTTCATTGCTGACATGTTTCCTTTCACTGCTTCTTCATATTCCAGTTAAAATACAATAAAATAAAATATCAAAATTTTGCGTAGTATTTTTTTGTAGCAAACGTCCTCATTTTTTCATGACCATGTTACACTCTCTGACCCTCAGAATTACAAATCAAGAAATCACTGCTTCTTTATATTCCACATTAAAAAAAAATAATGATAATAATAATAATAAGAAGAAGAAAATAACAAAAAAATTAAATATCCTGTGAGATATTAGTATTTCTTGTGGCAAAACTGTACTTTTTTTAATGACCGTGTTACTTTCTGTCTCTGACATTTTTGCACTCGCTGTAAGTTTTTGTCATATTGTCGATCATGGAACCAGGTCTTTCAAGTTTGGTCCTTCTCAACCTAAATGTGGGTTAAATGCATTTATTGTCTGACATCAGGAATCCTTTCATATCAATAAATGTAAAATACGATTATCCTCACCATTCAGTTTACCAAACCATTTTGGTTGTTTCTCTTTGGGCAGGTAGACACACAGATAATAAACTGGCACTCCAGACAGTGCGATGGCGATTCCTATGAGAGAGTTAATGGTGTCGCTGTACAGAGGAACGATCACGAGGAACACACTGCACAGGCAGTAGATGAAGGGAAAGAACAATGTGAGCTAATGGAGAAAAAGACCCAAAACAGCTGAGTCAACAAACACACAGAATAACACATACAGTTAATAATCAGATGTGAATGCTGGACCGCTGCATGGATCCGGTTACCTTGACCGGCCTGTGTCTGTCAGGCTGAGTGATTCGCAGGTAAATGAGTCCGGCCACAGACAGACCCACATACAGCCAGTAACTGAAGCTGAAGTAGTTGATGAGTTGAAACACATCCTCCACACACAGGAAGATCAGACCCATCACGCCCTGCAAACACCCACAAATCCAGTGCTTATCAATGCCCATTCAGCTACCTGGCTTATTTCACACACAAAGGCGGCAGCCAATCGTAACAGCAGTCATTTACACATTAATCGTAGGTAAATGAGGCCGGCCACAGACAGACCCACATACAGCCAGTAACTGAAGCTGAAGTAGTTGATGAGTTGAAACACATCCTCCACACACAGGAAGATCAGACCCATCACGCCCTGCAAACACCCACAAATCCAGTGCTTATCAATGCCCATTCAGCTACCTGGCTTATTTCACACACAAAGGCGGCAGCCAATCGTAACAGCAGTCATTTACACATTAATCGTTAACTCTAGGGGAGTTGGAAAATGAGCCTATTTTCAAAAATAGTGGCGTGTTCCTTTAAGGTGCATGCTATTTTTTTTTTTCTTTACAATTTATTTTTACCACAAAAGAAATGAGTAGCACTTTTTAAAAATGTTTAAAATGATTTCCACCCACTTCAGATGAACAGCCCACTCATTTCAGTAACCTAATAAAAGCTATTCTATACATGAAGCGGATCACCTAATGGGGGCTTAACATGATGAAATCACATGACTACTACTATTACAGAACACTTTTGTTTAAAAAAAAAAATACTAATTTTAGATGAATGTGAATAGGGTGTTGCAACAATGACATCAGCAAGCAAAAACAATGGCTTTAGGCAATGCGACATCTACACCACTAGGTGTCCATTGCTCTGTGAAAGTTTGTGGATGAAATCCAGTCATTCCAAAAGGAATCTGCTCTCTCTGGAGTTTCTCACACAGATTTTGCTCGGGTTCATGTTGGTTGAACCAACAGAAACCTGCTTTCTATGTGAAATTATGCTGACATTTCACTAATGTCACCGCATATTAAGTCAAAATCAGTTGCTATATTGGTTGGTGCAACATGAACAAAAAATTACTGAGTGCACCTTTAAAGGTGACATATCATGAAAACCTGACTTAATAATCAAGTGCTAATTAAGTGCTATAATGCCCATAATTATATATAATTGGGCATCTACCAACCAAGGAAACGTGAAAAAGATTAACCCAGTAACTTTGTTTTGGTAAGCCTTTTTCTGCAAGCATCTGAGAAAACGAGAGCGTCTTCGCTCCCTTGGTGACTTGGCAAAGGGATCTCATTATAATATTACCGCCCCTTAATCTGTAAGTTTACACCCACGGCGCCGT